TCGAAAGTTGTAATTTACAAACACCAAGTTACTAAGCACTTTATGCTGCAATCTGTTTCTTCTTTTGGTGTGCACACGTTCAAAGATACTCCAATTACGTTTACAACCAGAAGAAGAAGCAGTTTGGCTAAGAATTCGAATAACCAACTTCTGAATATTTGGAGCATCAATGCCTAACCATTTTCACCACTTATCTACATATAAAACATACATGTTAGTTTCTTAAATACCATAATAAATAGAAGAACTTCAATGCAAGTGATATCAATTACTTGATTGTTGTTTCCGTGCAGAATATATTGCCATCTTACTCCCAAAGTTTCCTGAACGTTCAGTATACAAATTCATCTCCGCAACCACCACACTATTACCAGGACATAAAGACGAATTCTCAAGAAGATTAAGAAGTCCAAATGTAACCGCCCTATACTCTATCCAATCATCGGAAAATTTAATAGCCGGATTAAGATAGTGAGTTGTCATAAACAAATCATGGCTTAAGTACTTATCCCATCTTCTATTAATGATATCCATGTATGGCTTGTACCTCTCCGCCTTATCTCCACAAACAGTCATAACAACATTTAACACCCTAATCATCCCATAATACACATACCCCATTACCGCGGCGCGTTCTTAAGAAGGGGAGGGAGACTCGTGCAGTCGGCGAGGCTGAGGAAGAGAGAAGAGGAGCGGCGGAGGGGAGCGGAGCAGGGATCAACTCGAGGAGATGAAAAGAGGAACAACGGAGCGGCGGTCGCGGGTTGCCTCTATGCTTTCACGGGTCTCCAGACACCAGAGGATAAGAGGACGAGCGGCGGGGCGGGGCTGGGGAAGAAAGAAACTTTGCTCCCAATTTTCATTTGGCCGATTTTCCTTAGAGATTAGGGTTTTGCGTTTTTGGCCTTTGGCCGATTTTTTTAAAAAAATTTTAAGTGCCAAAAACTGCGACGTGTTTCCTTCCCATAAGCCTACTGTGGATTAGACCAAAACTAGCGGCATTTCCTTTTGTGCCGGTTAAACCAGAAAAACCGGCCACGGTATTCTGGTTGCCAGCAGTCTACCGTATCGTTCTTTACCTGGTTTCCAGATTTTTTTGGTTGAACCGGCTGGTACAATTTGGTTTCCTGGTCCATGAATGAAAGAAGGTGGGAGGCAATTTGTGGAATTAATTGGACCAGGGAAGAAGGGTTAATGGGAACGGATTCTTTTGGACCGACTTTGGGAATTAATTGGAAAATTGAGTAACGAAATTAACTGGACAAGAATTCTTGGACGAGAAGCAGTAGCAGCTAGGAGCTTAAATCTTGTCTATTTCCTTGAATGGCTGGGTAGATCTTGCAACTTCTCTTGTGCCGGGTACATCGGCTGTACACAAAGGAAGCCCCTCTGTGTGTCTGGGAAGTATCGGACCGAAAGGATCCAAAAACTATATTCAGGGGGCGGAGGGGGAAGCAACCCTCGATCTCTCGTTGATTGTGATTTTGGGTGTGATATTTCTGGACATAACAAAAAATCAGGGTTAGAGAAACGGTTCACGTAATTCTTTTTCTTATTTTTTTTATTTCTAAAATGTTGAACCTAGAATTATTTGTTAGTTTGTTTTCCATGATGATGAACTAAACCTTAATTTCTGAGGGAAGACCGTAAGATGAAGTTATTGAATTTCTATGATTTAATTCGGTTTATTTTTCTTTCTCATTCATATTGTGTGTGTTCTTGAAGCTTTGTATAGTCTGGCCACCTAACTATTGATTTGTTGTCCTAGGTTGAGACCGAGATTATATCCAGGATAGAACACTTTTACATACGTCATAACACCCAATTGAGCACCAACGGCGGATCCAGGATACATTAGAACACTGGGCCGCATTTAGGGGCGGAGGGAGAGTGCAATTGGGTCGGTCCCGAAAACCCACCGTGTCTTAGGGGAAAAATTGTCAAACTATTGACCATATGGGGCAACGTTAATATAGTTCTTCTCCATGTGCACAAAGTACGACGAGATTCGGCTTTTTCAATTAGTTTTTCGCCGACCGTCGTTTTTTAGGATTGGACAAGTTTTCTGGAATTTGGTGAGTTGGATATTTATTGTATTTAGTATAAAAAATCCTCTCTCGAAGGCATACATATACAAATTTTGAATTTTTTAAATTGGTGGCGAATAGTAGTCGTATTGGCAGCAAATAACATGCATCTTTTTTAATTTTACCCTCTTCCTCTTCCATCCCCTATTATAGTTATCTCCCTAGATTGGTTATCTTTCCATTAATTTTTATAAAATCAAGATATATAATTTCTGAATTCATAAGAGGTTTGGTATTTATACACGATAGAAATTTAAAATCTTTAAACCTAAAATTAATGAGATATGAAAGATCAAAAACCTAACTAGACTACTAACATACGTATTACTTGGCCCTTGCAAGCAACTCCTAACCACATACTAACGAATGACATACTTGGCCCAACCCAACTTCATCTGATAATTGGCGAAGGCAGGTTTCCTTCAATTTTTCCTTTGACAATGGGGTTTTTTTTTGTTGAAGGGAGTTTGGAATTAAGTTTCAGGTTGGGACTTGACTTGGGAAAAGAGAGGACTGGGCCAAAAGCGATGAATGGTGGAAATATAACCAATAATTAGCTCTCTTGTAGGAAGAGGGTTGCGCCCTGGCCCAGTATGGCCCAGCCCTGGATCTGCCGATGTTGAGCACGAGAGTGGAAAGCGGGAGTTGTGTGATCAGTAGAGGAGTTATCGGACTTCAAACGAGATAGTTAATTAATTGACTGTACGAGAGTATACAATAATTGACTAGCTAGTACGTAGTGATTCTTCGTAAATTAGCTATCACCCCAGAGATAACTTCAGTCATTTGAATGAGAATTAAATTGATTAATAAACGAATTGAATCAAATAATTATGTAGTGAATTCCAGGTTGTCTTTCCCCAAAGCTTCACTCCATTGATTTTCTCCAAGTCAATTTCACACTTGCTTTTCTTGTTTAGTTATTTCTTTTAATTTGTTTGTCACCCAAATACTTTTGTTCTTTTGAGTTCCTTAATTCCAAGTGTTAAATCTAGAGTTGTACCAATTCCTATAGGACGATAATTTACTTATCTTTATTACTCGATCGGTAAAGTGCTTATACACTTTTGTTGCATCAACACCCATAAAGATTTAGAGTAGAGATTCACAAGTACACGCTTTAAAGAATCATTGCTACATAAGAGTAGGTAGTCATTTAATAATGGACGATAGTCATTTTACGAGGGTTCATTCTACCTTTCCGTAGTTAGGGTAATGATTTCTCATGGAGAGAGAACAGGTTGGTTTATTCTGAATTTTAACGTTTGAACTTTGAATGGTCTTGATTTGAAAAAATTAGAACTGAATTTTTTTTGTTAGGTTTGAGATTATAAAATAGAGGTTAATTTATGAAGTCGTCACTCAACTTTAGAGTATCACAACATCTTTTTTTTTTTTTTGGTCAAGTATCGCAACACTTTTTCTGGATAATTCTGAATTTTCTTTTTCAATAAGCAATATTTCAAAAGTTACACTGAGCATATGGATCAGTTAGCTTGCTAACACCTCTATTGGTTGGAAAAATGACACCCCCTATTAATTATAGTTAATTATGATATTAAATTCGTGTTGCATTTAATAATTTTTGGGAATTAAAAATTATCATTGCCCTTGTACACTGGACTCATATTAATTATATTTCTTTTTTTGAACTACCATTGCACTGATACAACTATCATTCCACGTATACATTGATATCATTGCACTGGTAGAACTACCATTACACTGAAAAAAGGAAAGTAATTAATATGAGTTCTTTATTCAGACAGATTATTAAATACAACACAAATCAATTACCTTAAAAGTCTATAATTAATAGGCATGATATTTTTCCAACCCCTTTAACGGCAGTCATGATATCTCACCCCCTGAGTACATGAGTTATAGATTCTAAGGAAACTAAATGAATTATTTTCATCTGAGTTCACAACAGCTCACACTTAAGGAAAATCATTAATAACAAAACTAAAAGTACGAAGATATGATTAATTAGCAGAGTTAGTGAATGACAAGACCATGTCAAATTTGATAACTTTCCTTAATACCAGTCAACATTATTATAAATGACTTCCCTTAATACAGTGAAGCTCCCATTTGAATGAACTAGAGAATCAATATAAAATTAGTCCTACCGGACAAATATCTTTTCTATACCACCACAACACCCCATGGAGATTGTTAAAGTTCATCCCAACTCATAAGTCTCAAAATTTGCATAATTCTTCTGGTACTATCATCATCACACCCATTTCACAAGTTTAGCAAAGGAAGCTTGGTTAATCCTAAAAGCATACGGAGAACCATAAAGGTATAATCAGAAGAAAAGTTCACGAATTCTATCTTTCTTTCTTCTTACGTTCTGGCCACACCATATCTTTGCTATGAATCATACGTTTTTTTCTCTTATTGCAGGGGGAAGATGGTAAAACTATTGATTGTGTCGACATACATCAACAACCGGCTTTTAGCCATCCCCTCCTTAAGAATCACACCATCCAAGTTAGTTCTCGCGTATACACAACTCAAGTTTGTAACAGATTAACATAACAAGCATCATATGCTTTCATATTCGAGCTCTTGAATTTTGCTAATGCGTATAGATGTTAATATGGGTTGGCTGTCATCGGACGTCGTAGTATGAAATGTCGCCCGTTGAATACATGTGTTGTCTTATTTACAAACTATATAGCACCATGTGTTGTCTTATGTAACTACACTATTCATTGACGTCTACCTATTTGCCGTATTTCTATGTCATAACCAATCAACATATATGTTTGCCATAATGCTATGTCGTAACCATAATGATTTTGCAGATGAAACCGACTTCATACCCTCGAGATGATCGGTTCAAGGAGATAATCAGAAGCCTTAAGTACTATAAAAATTCTTCTGGCCTTAATCGAATTCGTTGTCCTGAGGGAACAATTCCAATCCTAAGATCACAAATGAAATTCCCACATTATAGGAAATTCCCCTCACAGAATGACAACAATATCACCAACGAGGTATGATTTCTTTTTTTGTTCATCAACAATTTTCAACCTCTGAAAATGTACATATTAATGTCCATAGATAATTTGCACTAATTTGATATTACTATATCCCTGATTACATACAGTTTGGAATAGCAGTTTACCCTAGAGGGACTTACTATGGAGCAACTGGAAACCTCAATGTATGGAGCCCAGCCACGTTTGGTTTAGAATTCAGCTTAGCTCAAGCGTGGGTCACAGATGGGGATGGCCAAGACTACAATTCAGTAGAGGCGGGTTGGATCGTAAGTCATCATTCTACATTTATTTTAATTTTAATTTTTGATTTACTAAATATTGAATTTGGGAGAGAAACTCCAGGTTAGGCAATCGTCAAACACCAGCCAACCAACCCTTTTCATATCTTGGACTGTAAGTAAAATTTTTGCCTGCTTGAATACTAGATCATCCACATATGTTTTTAGCCCTTGTTGACCCCTTTTATTATTTCAAAATATGGATAGTCTGATGGCTACGGATCCACTGGATGCTACAATTTAGATTGCCCTGGGTTTGTTCAAACATCCCAGGAAGTCACACTTGGTGAAGTCTTAACCCCAGTTTCATCTTATGATGGCCCCCAATACCAAGTTACCTTTGCCATCCACAAGGTAATAAATTGTTTCCCATTAATTTCGTAATACGAAAAACTAATAGCTTACAAGAATACTCGTGCGTATAATATGCGTAACTTATCTGTATCGTATTTTTGTTGCAGGACATAGGGACCGGAAATTGGTGGTTGAATTTCCAGGGCAGAACGGTAGGATACTGGCCGCGATACATATTCAGTGGACTGAGGACAAGCGCAAGCATAATAGCTTGGGGTGGTGTGATTGGTAATTCACACCCACAAGGCTCCCACACAACTACTCAAATGGGAAGTGGGCATTTTGCCAATGAAGGGCGTGACAAGGCGGCTTTCGTGGACAACCTAGGGTTTGTTGATGAAGGTGAACATGTTAAGGATGCTAAGACCCTGTTAGGATATGCCACAAACCCAGCTTGTTATAGTGTACAGGTTGGAGATTGGAATAATATTGAAAAGACTCATTTTTACTATGGAGGTCCAGGATGGTCACCCAATTGTAAATAGTGATGATACAGAGAGATAATAGTTGGAATGTGAAATAAATGAGAAGCAAAAGCGAGGAGGTTGGGAATTGGAATTTGTGTTTTTGGTTTTGCGGGTGATGAAATAAGCTTGTGTTCATATAGGATGAATGAAATGAGTGTATTATTTTGATTGTGAACTGTATTATTTTTCATCGAGATAATCCGCGTGTTTGAATCGGATTGATGTACCTTGACTTGATATTTTTTCCAACGACTTTAAGGTCTAGTTCAAACAAAAGTGTTTGATTTGTGATATTTTTTTCTCAAATAAAACTACTTTAAGGTCCAAGATTATTTTTATTGTGAATTGTATTATTTTGATTGTGAATTGATATTTTTTCCAACCACTTTAAGGTCTAAGATTATTTTGATTGTGAATTGTACTATTTTTCATCGAGATATATGTGTGTTTGAATCCTATTGACGTACCTTGATTTGATATTTTTTCCAACGACTTTAAGGTCCAATTCAAACAAAAGTGTTTGATTTGTGATATTTTTTTTAGCTTCGAAGTATAACTATAACTATGACTACTTACATAAAAAAGGCAAAACTTAGCCTAAGTCTCAAGTGTGTGGTTTTACAAACTCTTGCAATGTTAGCACCTCCTATTTATAGCCAATGTGGTGATAATCAGCATACAGAATTGCCAACTTGACAACTCTTATAAAGAACTGCTCTCCCTTCTCTGGATGTGGTAGGCATTTCTTTAAATCAAGGATTGTGAAATCATAAGTTATACCAAAATCACAATGGTAGGAAGATATTTTGTACTAAAATTGTGGGTAAATTGTTGTTCAACCATTTTGCATGGCTAAAATTGTCTGTCGATTTAAGGTCTGGTATCAGGTATTTTTGGTCTGATCAGCCAGTAAAGTACGAATTCTAAAACAGTGTTTTAAAGTCATGATGAGTGGTAGTTACTCTCTCAACTGCCTAGGCGACTTGTCTCCTTCCTGTTAATAAGCTTGATTAAATCGTAGAAATATGAACGCAAGACACAAGATTTACGTGGTATCCCCAACGATGATTGTTGGAACTAGTCCACGGCACAAGGCAGAGTTTAGGTTTATTATTCTCATGTACAGCTTACATCAATACTTGGCCTTCACAAGATATATATACTCAGCCAAGTATAACCCTAAATAGGGTTAATTACAAAATGAAACTTCTAACTTCTAACACCTTCCCTCAAATTGATGATGCTTGCACAACATCAATTTGTGTGCTAGAAACCAGTGACGTGCAGAGGATACCTGAAACACCCTAACCTGGCCGGGTACTACTTTTACTAAAATGCCCTTGATAAATAAAATACTCAAATCTTAAATTGCAACTGGGAAAAATTTTAATAAATAAAAAACTGAAAACACTCACTTATAGTTCAAAGCAAAGCCCTAACATGTGAGCAAATTAAACTCAAACTTTAAAATCTCAATCTGATCTCCAGTCTATACTCATAATCATAAATGTAAATAACTACTAATCTCTAATGTTGTTGCTACTAAAAACCGTGATTAAGCATCCTCCGTGACGCCTATACTGTCCTCCTCTAGTGGGCTGCCATCCAGCTCGCTGCTTACTAACTGCTCCTCTAGCTCCTCCTCTAGCTCTTCAAACTGGTGAATGAGATGGGGTCAGTCTACGCCCTTACGTTTAACAACTTATTCATACTTGATCACTTTACTTAACTGAGTGGAAGTTGTTTTGTACTTCCACTATTAAAAAGCTTAACTCTCAAAACTGTAAGGGAGTTACTGTTACTCCACTCTTAAATCTCAAAGCTTGACTTAAATACTTGACCGACACTGGGATCCCTCACTAGCAATTACAAATACACTGGGATCCCTCACTAGCTACTCTTCCCATTGTTATACCACAAAGAATTATATAATTACTTAAATTGTTGAATTGCGGCCAAGAGATGGAACTGCCTCCATCTAACTACGTATCATAAGCTTTATTATAGCTCGCAACTCTATAAACCAGGCCAATCATGGAACCTTGACTTCGTACTAATTCCACACATACCACCGCCTAGTGAAATATTTATATTTCCATTCAAAGTAACAAGGGTATAGCCCTATACCCGAGCTTTGGATCGCCATGGCACATGAATCCCTCTCGTGAAATGATGATGCAGCCCGCACTTCGTTATCAGTTGTGAATAAGATTGGCTCCCCCGTTCGCTACTCGGCCTGCCGCCGCGGCCACATCCTCCTGCGCCCACAACTGATTCGGCTACGAGGATCCCCGACATGCAATTTAAAGTCTCCTCCGCGTGCTGAATCTCAACCGAGGGAAAGTGACAACAGCCTGCTCTCCGATCATCAGCCAGTAGCATGAGCTTCACGAACACGACACTCATGACTTCCCAAGAACCTTGCGCTGTGATATTCGGCTTTAATATATCTGATTCTTGGACTTTATGTGATTATCTGTGGTATGTTTTAGCCAATTGGTGCTATTTTAAGGCTCGCTAACCCGAGAATGGTTGAAAAACCATTACTGCCTAGTGCCATGAGTTTGATGTATTACAGGTGAAGAAAACACGAAAAAGAAGTTGCACCGGCAAACAATGCTCGAATGCTGGGCTTAAAGCCCAGCTGGATGGCAATTAATTGAGAATTGGCCCAAGTGAATTTTGGGGCCGGATACAATTTATGGAGGAGAATTAATTGCTGGGGGGACATAATTAAGGTGGGCGGTGGAATTTTGGGGAGGAAAGAAAAAGAAGCAGCTGGCGGCTTGGAAGGGAATTTCTCGGGCAGAAGGGATTTGGAGGAGTCTCTTTTTGGTTGGGCAACGAAATTCTGGGGCGAGGAGATCTCTATTGGGGCGGAAAATAAAAGGCAGTAGCGCAGCGAACGTAGCAAGCTGGGGGGACATATTAAAAAGATGGCGGCGGCAATTAATTGGAGGAAAGAGGAGAAAGGTCACGGATGAAAATTCTTTGGAAAGAAAGCGAAGGCAGCAGCGCGAAGCATCGGGCGATTGTCCATTGGCGATCGGTTTCTCCAAGGCTTGAGCTGAGTTCAACGAGAGCGATTAGTTGATTGGATTTTCTAAACCGAATTAGTTGTTTATTGTTGATTTAGAACATGATGAACAAAATCCTATCGATTTATCTTAATTTCATCATGAACTAAACCCCAATTTCTGGGGGAAACACCATAGGATGTAGCTATTTCTTGACTTGATGGATTGATTCATAATTCTTTTCTTCCAATCTCTATTGCATGAAATTACTTAATGCTTTGTGTTGACTGGCCACCAATACAATGAATCGTAGTTAAATAGGTTATTAGCGACAGTGAAACCCTAATAACTGAACCTATTTCATGTGACATAGTAACTTATCGAAGCGACAGTAGATTAAATAAGGTGCTATGCGGTCTTGAATAGGATATCGATCTTCAGGCTAAATAATTAGGTCATTGAGCTACGACAGTAGGATTTGATTTGATTGTTTAGTACGTAGTAATTCCCGACAGGGATAGCTAGCACATTCGTGATATCCTGGCTATAGAGATATGGATTAAATTGATTGGAGTATGTGAATTAATCTAGATAGGATAGGTAGTGTATCCCGGTGTTTCTCCCAGAGCTTCTCCCATTGAATTTCTCCCGACAGTTTACATTTAGTTAATTTGTTTATTTTATTTTGCTTTTAGAAATTAGAATCATTAAACTATTTTCACTTATAGTTTGCTCATAAATTTGATAGAATATAAGGTTGTACCAGTCCCTGAGAGACGATACCCGGACTTTCCGGTTTACTACGAGATAAGAATTGAAGGCATACGCTTTTGCCCTATCAAGTTTTTGGCGCCGTTGCCGGGGACTGCCATACCTTATTTTTGTTGATTTTTGTGAGTGAACTATTTTGATCTGGGTGTTAGTGTGCAGGGGAATTTTTCAGGTTAATCCTCATCGTGCATGCCAAGGAGGACGACTGGCAATTTACTTCCCCTAGATCCCGAGGTCGAGAGGACCTGCCGACAGAACAGGAAGCAGGTCAAGTTAGGGAAGCACCCTACCACCTCCACAACTCCTAGGCCTTCCCTAACTCAGAATCGTCAACCGAGAAGGCAGGTGTCACCACCTGTCATCCCTACACCACCGACACCGCCGCCGCGCATCATCGAGCCTGTCATCATGGCAGAACAGGATCGTTCGATCAGGGCTCGTCTGAATCGGAGGACTGGAGCCTGAGCTTCATGTGTTGTCATTCTGGCTGGGGATGCAAACATGGAGATTGCCCCAGCCTTCATCAATATGATCACGAATGGGTACACCTTCTCAGGGGCCAGCACCGAGGATCCTCATGAACATCTCCACCGGTTTGCAAACATTTGTGACACTATGAAGAGCCCGGCTGTGTCTGATGATGCCATCCGTCTTCGGATGTTCTCATTTTCTCTGCTAGGGAATGCATCCCACTGGTTCCAGAACTTGACACCCCGTTCCATCACAACATGGGGTCAGCTTGAGAAGACCTTTTTGGATAAGTACTTTCCTCCTGCCAAGGTGATAGACCGTTAGTTACACATGTTTTCACCCCTGTTCTTACACCGTTGGAGATGTGGTTTCTCGTGTTTTAGACCGATTTCACGCTAGGTTGTGCTTGTTTGTGATATTTCAGGTCCTGGCAAGTGAATGAAGGTTTAGGAGCGAGTTCGGGGTCGATTGGGTGAAGATCGGGCGCGAGACAAGTTACAAAGGAGGTCACACGGGCTGCCCTGATGTTCGCACGGCCGTGTGAAGTAATGGCCTGGCCGTGCGAGTTTTGCCGAGAGCACACACGGGCAGTGCAGAGGATCGACACGGCCGTGCAAGTGGCCGGGTTGGCCGTGCCACATTCTGCGAGAGCAAACACGGGCAAGAGGGGATGTCCACACGGCCGTGCCATTCTGGCCGGTCAAAGAGCCTGGAATTCGAACTAAATGAAACGATGCATTTTGACTCACACGGGCAACTGGGTAAGCCACACGGCCGTGCCACCCTGGCCGTGTGAGTCGGGATTTTCTCCTTTTAAGCAGATTTTCAGCCACAAGTCAAGTGGATTCGAGTTTTTGAGAGATAGAACGATTCCTAGAGAGAGAAAGTGACGAGCAAGAGTTCCCAAGTGCCCTAGATTGATCTTCAACACCATTGGAGGCCAGCTTGAGCTTGGAGAAGTGCCAATCAACGTCCAGAAGCAGGAATCCATCCTTCGCAGTATGAATTCCGTGTCTGATTCTGCTTTTGCTTTCTTCTCCATGGAGTAGTTCTCCCATTCATCTG